GCCCAAACGCGTCTTGGCAGGAGTTTAAGCCACGGGGTCCAGAACTCGAACCGCAGGCAACTACATGGGAGTCCAGCGACATAGCCATTACGCTAACTGCTGGTCCCCAGTGATTATTTCAATTACATAATGTATTCAGACTGATTAATCCATGTTGTAACCCATGACAGGATCTCCTTCCTTAAAAATAATAATGTTATTATCTTAAAAAGCTGAATAATCTATTGTGCATATAGAACACTTTTTAAAATCTATTCATTTGTGGGTATTTAGGTGCTGCCATATCTTAGCTATTATGAATTATCCTGCAATAAACATGAGTGTGCAAATACCTCTTCAAGATCTGTTTTCAGGGACCAGCGGTTAGCGTAATGGCTATGTCGGTGGACTCTCATGTAGTCGACCGCGGTTCAAGTCCCGGACTTGGAGGCTTAAATTCAAGCCGGGCGCATGTGCGTGCGTGCACAAGATCCCGAGAGGAGAAGGAATTGCAGCGTGGCCATCCCCCCGGGGGCGATTTCTCGCTTTCTGTCTCTCTGTCTGTCTCTGTCTGGCAAGCGCACGCGCCCTATAGCAAAAACCTCTCCAAAAAAAAGAAAAATATACCTGTTTTCAATTCTTTTGAATATGTACCCAGAAGTGGTATTCCTGGGTTGTATAGTAATTCTATTTTTAGCTTTTTGAGGAACCTCTATAGTTTTCAACAGCGGCTTCACCATTTTATACTTTTACCAACAATATGCAAGTGTTTCAGGTTCTCCACATCCTCACACTGATAGGCCAACATGTATGAGGTGATGTGGTTGGGATTTTTGTCGAGCGGTGATAGCGAGCATCTTTTCATATGCTCGTTGGCTATCTTTATGTCCTTTTCAGAAATACCTATTAAGGTCATTTGCCTAATTTATAATAAAGTTTTCTGTTATTTACTTGCAGGATTTCTTGATATATTCTGGATATTAGCTCCTTAACCAGCATATAGTTTACAGATATTTTCTGTCATCTTGTGGTTGCCTTTTCACTTTGTTTTCTTTTTTTAAGAATTTTTTTTGAGAGAGATGTTTTCGCTATAGGGCATGTGCGCTCGCCAGACAGAGAGAGACGAAGAGACAGAAGGCGAGAAATCACCCCCCAGGGGGGATGGCCACGCCGCAATCCCTTCTCTGTTCTTCTCTCAGGATCTTGGGCATGCACGCACATGCACCCGGTGTGAGTTTTAAGCCACTGGGTCCAGGATGCGAACCACAGTTGACTACATGGGAGTCCAGTAACATAGCCATTACGCTAACTGCTGGTCCCCAAGAATTATTTTATTTTACTTATTCACTTATTTTATTTTGACCAAAGAGGGGGGGGAGAGAGAGAATGAGAAAGCAAGCTGCTGGGTCTGGGACTCGAACCGCGGTCAGCCATGTGGAATTCCAGTGTCCTTAACCACCACATCACCTGCCAGCCCCACTTTGTTTTCTTTTCCTGCACAGATCCAATGTGGTTTTCTTAAAATATTTATTTAATCTTATTTATTACGATTATTTTACTTTGCTATAGGGCACACATGCTCACCAGAGAGAGGCAGAAAGAAAGTGAGAAAATAAACTAACAGGTCCAGGACTCGAACCGTGGTTGGCCATGTGAGAGTTCATTGTCTTAACCACCACTATACCTGCTGGCCCGAGGATCCAATATTATCAAATACAGTGTGCAGTAAGCATCCCTGTACAATAAGTCCCTGAAGGAGGCATTGTTTCTACCTTTAAAGGCTGTCTGCTGTACAGACATCTTTAAAAAGATTATTCGAAACAAAGAGCAGTTCAGTACCTAATTTTTTTTTAAGGACTATTTTATTTAACTTCATTTTAATTTGATCAGCATGAGAGAGAGAGAGAGAGAGAGAGAGAAAGTGAGAAAGCAGCTCCAGGTCCAGCACTCAAACCACAGTTGGCCGTGTGGGAGTCCAGCGCCCTTAACCACCACACCACCTGCCAGCCTCCAGTACGAAGGGGTTTACCTGCAATTAACCAAATATATAATGCCACAGAGTATCATGGCCTACCTTACATTTTGAATAAACCTGTTTACCCATGCATGATTTTGTAATATCAGATTTCAATCATGAAAATTTAGATATGTACACCTTCCAAATGTTGATTTATTTCATTTTATAATATTTAAAATCGGACCAACCTTGTGTGGTACTTAAGACAGCTGAACCCCGTGTGGCCAACTATGAGGTTCAAGTCCTGGACCAGCTAAGAAACAAGTTTGGCATGTGTGTGTGTGCATGGGACCAAAATCCCAAAAGGAGAGAAAAATGGAGAAGGGGTTGCAGCATGACTGTACCCATCGGAGGTGTTTTCTCACTTTCTCTGTCTCTCCAGCAAGCCCATGTACCCTCAGGCAAAACTTAAAAAAAAAACAAAAACACACACAAAAATCATGTCTTAGTCTATTTGGAATGCTGAAACAAATTACCTTAAATTAGATGGCTTGTGTAGAAATGTCTTTCTTACAGTTCTAGAGATTAAGAAGTCAGTTATTGGGACCAGCAGATATCCTAATGGTTACATCACTGGACTTCCATGTAGTCAACCATGGTTTGAGTCCTGGACCCAGAAGCTTAAAACTAATGCCAGGGGCCAGCATGGTGGTGTGGTGTTTAAAGGCACTGGACTCCCACATGGATGCCTGGGGTCCAAGTCCTGTACCTGGTGGCTTGCTTTCTCACTTTCCCTCTCTCTCTCTCACTCTGATCAAACTGGAAAATAATAATAATAAATGAAGTTAAATAATTAAAACAAAACCTCATGCTGGGCACACATGCCCAAAATCCCTAGGGGAGAATGTAGGAGAAACGATTGCGGTGTGGCCATCTCCCCTGAGGGGTGATTTCTCACTTTCTGTCTCTCTGGTGAGCGCACTATAACAAAAATGTAAAAAAAAAAGTTCATGATCAACGTGCCTGGTAAGGGCTCATTCTCTGGTTCATAGATGACACCTCCTTGTTGCATCTTCACATGGTGGAATAGATCAGCAAGCTTCCTTGGGTCTCTGTAACAGCACATCACATTCCTGAAGGTGGTTTGTTTGTTTGTTTGTTTCAGAGGTTTTTGCTATAGGGCTTGTGTGCTCACCAGACAGAGAGAGAGAGATAGGAAGCGAGAAATCACCCCCCCCACCCAGGGTGGATGGCCACACTCCAATCCCTTCTCCATTCTCCTCTCAGGATCTTGGGCATGCATGCACACGCACCCGGCATGAGTTTAAGCCACCAGATACAAGACTCGAATGAGGGTAGACTACATGGGAGTCCAGCAACATAGCCATTATGCTAACTGCTGGTCCCAACATCCGTGAAGGTTTAACCCTCATGCTTTAATTGACCCCCAGACATTCGGGCCATCGCAATGACATTCATTAGTATCTCTACCAATATTTGAAAAGTCTTAAGTACAGTCAGGAAGTGTTCACAATTTCTACTTCTCAAATTTCTAGTTTTTGCTTAAAAGTTTATATTTTATCATTGACAACAAATACTGTCAATTTTTTTCTTGAAGTGTTGAACTCATTTCATGTCTGCCAAATAACATCTAAAAACTGTATTTTCTCTGTCAGATATTCTTTCAGGTAAAAATAGTGCTTCTTGCAAAGAAGCTAGGTCAGGGCCCAGCTGCTGTGGCAGGCACCCCTAAGATGCTGTGCTCCACAGGCAGGGACTGTGGGCAGGCCTGGCTTCCTTTCCTGATTTAAAAGCCAACCTCAGTGATGCATGCTGGTAACCCAGAAACTCTGGGATGCTGCAGTAGATCAGAAGGTTGAGGCTGGACTGGGCAGCAGAGCAAGACTGTTAGAACAAAAATGTGAGTCAGGCGTGCTGGCTCACCTACACACCCAGCTAAGAGGCTGAAGAATCGCAGTGGTGTCTTAGAAAAGAAGCAGCCAGTTCAACTCCAATTCAGCCACACAGTTTGCTTTTTGAATAAGTGTCATTTGTTTTGCAGCAAAAGTTCTTTATGTGAACTTAACATTTTGTGAGCCAATATTAGAGATATGTATCCTCAGGATCAACATTTAATACTTCGTTCTGCTTCATCTAGGACATTCTAAAGTAAAAACACATTTTTTTTCTTTTTTTCCTTTTTGTTGAGAAAAATGCAGTCACTGCTAATACAGTTTGGTGCCACTGCTGTGAATAATGCTGAGGCCCCAGAAATTTTACTTAAGTGTGTTTAGTACCATTGATGCAATGTCTTAGAAGTGAGAAAAGCAAAATCTTATATAAAATGATTATGGTTTTCACTTTAGGGACACTTGAAAGGATCTTAGGGATCTTGAGGTGGCCATAGGCCATGCAGTAAGATCCACTGTTGTAAGATGGTTACTAAAAGACTATGTAACTTCTAAGTTGACTGGAAGATGGAATCATTATAAAAATCATTCCAAAATCAGAGAGGAAAAGAAACGTGGAACACATGGGACAATAGAAAGCATTGATACGAAATGCAAATATATCGATAATTAAAAATGAAAATGCACTCTTTCTGTTTAAAATGCAACAACTGGGCCAGCCCAATGGCTTGGTAAGGGAGCTGGATTCCACATGGCCACCTATAGTTTGTATCCCAACCCTCAAGGCTTGAAAAATATACCAGGCATTGTGTGTGTGTGTACACGCGCCCCAAATCCTGGCAGGATGGAGAGATGGAGGAGAAGGGATTGCAATGTGATTCTACACCATGAAGGGAGCTTTCTCCCTCTCCTCCTCTGTCTAGCTCACATGACCTCTGGTAATTAAAAAACACCCTGCTGCTAAATTAGGGGAGAGGGGTTGGATGAATAGGATTTTCACATGAAATGTGTCTCCCCACAGATTACTTACTGGTTTGAAGTAAGGCTATGGGACCAGCAGGTGGCGTGGTGATTAAGGTGCTGGACACTCCCACATGGCCGACCAGGGTTCAAGTCCTGAATCTGGTGGCTGGCTTTCTCACTTCCTCTCTCTCTCTCTCTCTCTCTCTCAACCTCTGTCTTTCTCTGGTCAAATTAAAAAAATAAATGAACGAATAAATTAAAAATAAAATAATTATTAAAAAAAAAGTAGAAGGGCTATATGGGGGGGAAGTGGGATCAAATTAATTGCACTAGTGAAAGGCAACATCAAGTACTCCCAAATGTGGTATATTCCTGGAAATAATATAAAAACATCACTTACATAATGCTTCAATCAGAAATGCATAACCTTAATCTAGTCATGAGGAAAAAATCAGATAAACCGAAACTAGGTAATATTCTGTAAAATACCTGGCCTGCATCTTCTATCATATACACACAAATATAAACCAAGTATGGTGCTGGGTGTATTAAATGTGATTGTGATAATCATTTCACAGGGTACATGTGTATCACATCATCTCACTGTAAAATTTTAATGTAATTTTTATTTGCAAATTAGACCTTAGTCATGCAGGAATAAATGAGAGAGTAAATAAAATAACTGCCCATATTCTTTAGAAATCTCAGTGTCCTGGGGCCAGCAGGTGGTGTGGTTGGGTCACATGGCCAGCTGCAGCTTAAGTCCCAGACCTAGTGCCTTGCTTTTTCACTTTCCTTCTTTCTCTCTCTCTCTTAAAAAAAAAAAAAAAAAATCAGTGTCCTAAACAACAAAGACCAAGGAACTCTTCCCTATTAAAGGAGACTAAACAGACATGGCAACTAAATGCAATAAATGATCCTATACTAAATCTGTCCTAGAGGAGAAAACACTAAAAAAGACATTACTGGAAAAATTTACAAAATCAAAATATGGGCTGTATTGTAACAATGTTAACTATTCATATTTTGATAATACCCTGGTTACATTAGTAGGGTAGTCTAGTTCTTAGGAAATTCACTCTTTAGAAATAAAGGGTAAAAACTCAGTGTTGGCAGCCTAGAGTTTCATAAAATAGTAAGCTTTTTTATGCATTACTACATAATGGGCACATGTACATTACACATAACGAGTATTAAATGTGCCAAAATGAGTGAGAATTGGAAAATCTGAATAAAGAACAATTCAGAAGTTCTCTATTATAACTTTTTTTGGTAAGTTTGATATTTGAAAATAAACAGTTTAAGAAAAGAATGATAAAACTATAGGGCCATCTGAGAAGTCAATAGAAGAATCAAGTCTACTTGAAAGACTAGAATCTGGAACCTCAATGAGAACTGCTTAAGCGTCATAACATACAACCTTTAGGGAAGGATTTCCAGAAATAAAGGGAAAAGTGTGACCTTTCTCTGAACCGAGAGTTTTGACCGTTTTCATGTAGACAAGTAAATTTGGTATTTCCATTAATGTACAAGAAAAGAGCTTTGTATTTATCAATAGAAGAAGTTTGTACACAAGTTTTTTGTGGTATATCTTTTCAGAACATCACAATGTTCTCATCTGCAAAAAGTGAATCCTCCCAAAGTTAGTATACAAATGACATTATAATACGTAATAGGGAGTTCACCAAAATAATGGAATTCACTTTCTTAAAACATCCTGCAAAAACTATGCATTATACTGGCGGCGTAAGCAGTGTTCCCTTAAGCAAGGTAATGGTTTGGGGTTTGTTTTTGTTTTGTTTTTCCCTGTGTTCAGTCAAGTGTAAACATTTAAAATTTCCTAATGATTTCGAACATTTTCCGGAACTGGAAGTTTTTCAGACCGTAAAATAAATCATAACTGGCCCATCTAGAAGGCTCGCTCTCGGACCAGTACTGCCACGGGTCTTCGAGTGGCTGCCGACTCGCAAGCCGGTGGCTGCGGAAACGCTTCCGGCCCAGAGTCTGGAGGCCTGGGAGCCCGGGGACCTGCTGCGCATGCGCGCCCCGCGCAGCCTCTCCGAAGCGGCCCGTTTAGTTACGTCACCGCCAACCTCGCTCGGACGGCAACCGGCGGGAGTTTTTCAAAATGGGAGTGCGGAGGCACCGCCCAGGCCTCGGAAGGTGTCAGAGAGACCTTTTGGTGGCTTTACCGTCGTCGCCCGGAGCGGCGGCCTAGAGAGCGAAGCCTGATGGGCGCCAAGACCGGCTGGCTGCTTGGAGCGCTGCCTCGAAGGGACCGCGCGGAGGAAGCTAATCCGGGGAGCTCAGGCCGGGGCCTGGAAATATGGCGACCTACATCGGGGAGAAGATCGAGGTGAAAAGACGCGGCAGCCTGCAGCTGGGCGGGTGCAGTCGGAGTGGCGGGACTCGAGGCCCCGGTGGGAAGAGGAACGAGCGAAGCTAACGGCTGAGGGGCGGGCGCAGAGGTGCTTTGGGAGGTCTCTAGGGCCCAGCCCGGCTGTCTGGGGGCGGAACGGCCCGCCCCCCGGAGACCCTGCAGGGACAGGTGAGCCGGCGCTGCCCGGGCCG